CTATTCAATTTTAGCAATTTACAATAATTACTTCTAGAGTTACACTTTGTTCAACCTTGTTAATGATCGATTGATGAAAGTTATATGTATGAAATTTATATGCACCATTTAAATTTGTGAAATTGAATTTCAGCAATTTCCATCTATTACTTCTAGAATTATGACCCTTGTTTTACTTTGTGAACCTTGTGAACGTTCAAATGACAAATTAAAGTTATCCAATCCGTATGAAATTTATATGCATTATTTAGATTAGTAAAACGAAAAATAAAATTGAACCATGTGTTAGTCCCGAAATGACCTAGTTTCTGTCGAATGGACGTTTCTCTCTCTCTCTTTCAGTTGCTATTTTGATTTTTTTTTCATACTTAAATGTTAAATAGTCAATCTGAGTAGGTCTACGTATTTAGAGTGTATTAAGCCAGCCATGAGAAATTTGACATTATACCGAATATACGTCCCTTGTATGTGTACATGATTATGGTATGTTATTGGGTAGGATGTTGAATACTGTATACAGTGTGTTGGGGAAAAAATCCTAACCGATACAGAATGTCGGTAAATGTCTTCCCGAGATTCCCTAACTCATTTGTTATTCAAACCTGCCTGTACATTATACATGTACACGTTTCCCGGGAGCATTACTATATTACAACTCCTTTAATTTATTATAGACAATATTAGTTCGACCCTAGCTTAAGGTAGACTTGCGAATTCATTGCGGGAAGCACGGCAAAACACGATGTATTCGTATCGAAACACGGTGAATTCCTAGAGAAACACGGTGAATTCCTAGAGAAACACGGCGAATTCCTAGCGAATCTAAGAGAAAATTCGTCGCGGAATCAAGCAAAATTTCACCGTGAAATCTAAGCGAATTCCGAGAGTTTTTTTCACCGCGTCGCGGCGATTTCGGTCCAAAAAATTTGGGAGGAACTGTATATACATGATTATGGTGTGTTATTGGGTAGGATGTTGAATATATACATGTATCCCTTGTATGTGTACATGATTATGGTGTATTATTGGGTAGGATGTTGAATATATACATCATTATGGTGTGTTATTGGGTAAAATGTTGTACCATGTATTTTATCTATTGATTTGTTTTCTAAGATAACGATATGTCTCGATTCCTAGTTCTACTGCGTAGATAATATCAATGTCGAGATAAACAACTAACTTCAAGACAAGAAATGACAGCTTAATCTTTTTGATGGTTAGAATTTAGTGATTGAACAGGAAATACATAATTCTGTGAAATAAAATTAAAGATGCCTTATGTAAGAATTAATTATACTAAAATTTATTTATAATAACAATTACCTGATTCTACACTTAAACTTATATAATAACAGTTACCCAATACTACACTAAAACTTATAATAACAATTACCCAATACTACACTAAACTTATATAATAACAATTACCCAATTCTACACTAAAACTTATATATAATAACAATTACCCAATTCTACACTAAAACTTATATATAATAACAATTACCCAATTCTACACTAAAATATATAACAACAATTACCCAATTCTACACTAAACTTATATAATAACAATTACCCAATTCTACACTAAAACATGTAATAACAATTACCCAATACTACACTAAACTTAGATATAATAAAAATTACCCAATACTACACTAAACTTAGATATAAGAAATATTACCCAATTCTACACTAAAACTTATATATATATATATATATATAGCAATTACCCAATACTGCACTAAAACATATATATAATTACAATTACCCAATTCTACACTAAAACGTATATATAATAACAATTACCCAATACTACACTAAAACATATATATAATAACAATTACCCAATTCTACACTAAAACTTATATATAATAACAATTACCCAAGTCTATACTAATACTTATATAATAATAATTACCCAATACTACACTAAAACTTACATATAATAACAATTACCCAATTCTACACTAAAACTTATATAATAATAATTACCCAATTCTACACTCAAACTATATATTTTGAAAAATGAATCTCTCATAGGAATATCAATCCAAAAATGTTTAAATTTCATTCAATATTTACAAAGATATGTTGAATTAAAATTTCAGCAATCTGTGCTACTCTGATTGAATCCAAGCTGGGAAATTTTGATTTTGTTTTCTTAATTAAATGTGAAATGATCAATCTGAATATATACATATTAGCGTTAATAAAGCCGTGAGAAATTGTATGTTTTAGTTAAAAAATGGACATAGGACATCATCACTTTAATTAGACTTTCACCAAGTTTAGGTGGGGGGGGGGTGGATGGCCGAATGGTTGGCAAGTGAGTGCTGTATTATAAGGTCTGTCATGGAGTCAACTGGCGTGATTTCGATTCCCTGGTTGTACGCGACAAGGAGTAGAGTCGCCTGTCCATCCAACCTCATGGGTTTTCTCCCACTGCTAAAGACGCCTACTCGAAAGCAAATTATTGAAATAAAATTATTAAACCATGTGTTAGTCCCGAAATGACCTCTCTATCTCTGTCTCTCTCTCTATCTCTGTCTCTCTCTCACCAAATTTAGACACCTTTTAATTTCTTCTATAAAGACTCTAATCGGTAAGAAACCATTGTACAACAGTCCGAAATATCTGGAGTAGGAGGAAAAGAGAGTTGAAAACAGCGTATTTCGTTGTCAAAGATGTATTATTACACCATAATCAACCGAATCCAACTGAAACAGTGGAGTAACTTACCGAAATAACATCAAATAGATACCTTAGAGAACTTGCAAGGGTAGACAATTACGTCATCGATCTTGAGTTTAACCTTGATTACCAATTGTTGTCAAGAATGCTACAGCTGCTCACCGTGAGGTTTCGGTGTCGCGAAAGCCTTCAGTACTCCTGCAGAGTTCTATTTTTGTTTTTGTTTTACATGAACTGATCAAATATAATAAATAATCTTACATCTTAACAGGAGTCACGGTGGCTAAGTGGGTAAGACGCTGGCTCGCTAGCCTGGAGGTTGGGTGTTCGATCCCTGCATTGGCCGAAAAAGTTCATTGACATTTTTTGACGTGTTTTCCCCTTGTCAGTGGTGCAGGAAGGAGAGCCTGACAAGGACAGTTGTCTAGACGTTCAGATGATACGAAAAACTGAGGTCCCATGTATACATTAGCATGCACATAAAAGATCCCTTGGCAGTTGGAATTTATTGTAAGTGTAGACCATAGTACCACTGCCCGGGCAAAATTTCCCTCATAACACACTGTATTGCATACATGTATGCCTGTCTTCATTAGGGTTGGCAGATGGAATTCGATATAAGCGTAGACCATAGTGCCGCTGCCTGGGCAAAATTTCCCTCATAGCACACTGTATTGCATATGCCCGTCTTCGTTGGATCAGATTAGTAGGACGTTAAGCCCCTTATTATTTTATTTTACATCTCAACATGTTAAAAATCTAGACAAGTTTTTATTTAATCTATACAGTTTGTTATTTTATACTTGCGGAAATTTCTTTAAGATAATCCTCTGAAAGTTTATTGAAGATGTCAGCTTTTATTTAAAGTAGTACACCCATACATTCGAGACTCGTCAGCTTTTAGAAGAAAAACAAACAGTGTAGCTCATGTTTCTGTTGGGTACATTACAGATTTGTCAGCTTTTATTTTAAAAAAAAAATCCAGTGCAGCTCATGTTTCAGTTGGGTACAAAATGATTTTGTAACATTGTTTAGAAAGGGAGAGCGATGGTATGACATTATGATGTCTGCTTATCAGTTGAAGGCTACAGGACCTTCTAGCCCAGACAGGACCTTCTAGCCCAGACAGCTAGGCCCTGAGTCACTTCCCCTGACTAGGAGTCCTACAAGCTACAGGACCTTCTAGCCCAGCCAGCTAGGCCCCAAGTCACTTTCCCTGACTAGTACTACAAGTGTAGTAAGTGACTGTTCATGTGTGCGTTAGCATTCTTATACACCTTGTATGTAAAAGATCCCTTAGCAGTGGCAATTTGAAGAATAGTAGGTGGAACCTTGCTCTCAAGCAATATTCACCTCTAGTACACTGAATGGCGTATGTCTGTCTTTATTAACCCAGTTGGAGTAGAACAGTAGGATGTTAAACTGTCCAAACTCGTGGGTTTTCCCCCACTGCTAAAGACCCCTACACGCAAGCGAATTATTAAAATAGAATTAAACCATATGTTAGTCCCGAAATGACCTGGTTTATGTCGAGTGGACGTTAATCCCCATCTCTCTCTCTCTGGTATAGTCCCTTTAATAAAACTGTAAATACTCTGTATGTGATATGTCACATTTAAAAATTATTAAATAAAAACTGAGATATACATATATACCACAGGAGAAAGGAAACTAATGTTTAAATTTATTTTAATAAGTGGGATAAATAAAGAAAATAGACAAGTTGTGGTTTGATGAAACAAGATGAAGCAAGATTCTCATAATTTGAATAATTTGAATTGCAATGACTAAGTTTGTGACGTTTGAAACATGTGAATTGAATAAGTGAGATAAGTGCAGAAATGAATTAAGTTGTGGTTTTATGAAGTCATATTTTCAGAATTGAAATAATTTAAATTTCTATGAGCATATGTGTCTGAAGACTGAATAAATGAAATAATTAAAAGAAATAGACCATTTTGGGTTTCAGGAAGTCATGTTTTCAGAGTTTAAATGTGTAATTATGTGATGTTTGAAGCTTTTAGATGTTAATGTTTGTAAGGTTGACATAACAGAAGTAAATATTTTCAATTACAATTACCAGTATTCAGATGTTTGACATATGAGGCTTAAATGTGTGATATTTGAAGTATTTGTTTACGTTGAATTTCTATGATTGAGAAAGCTGTTTGTTGAAAGTTTGACAGAAGAAATACACATTCTACCGGAACTTGATGGAACATATTAAGCCAACTCCAAGAATTCTAGTGGATAAATTTAAAGGGTTTTGAACAGTTTGTACTGTTAATCCATGATATAGACTGGACGATCAATCTATGATATAGACTGGATGATTTTTCTATGATATAGACTGGATGATTAATCTATGATATAGACTGGACGATAAATCTATGATATAGACTGGACGATTAATCTATGATATATAGACTGTATCTATTTTGAAAGTTTAGAAAAAAATGTGGTGATTTGACTGAAGTAAAGTCAAATAATTTGAATGTGAGGATACATGTGTAACAAATATAAAGGATTAAATATACTGTGTTTAAGTTTTAGGCTGTGTGGAAGATCAAACTACCCACATCCAGGTTTAAGGTTACATTAGTTAAGAGCTAAATCTGCCTGTTGCAAATCTTTCTTTAGGCTTCAAATGTTATAGAAATTATTAATTAGACATTTATTATATGACAAGTTCAAAAACAACTCTGTAGAACTTCAGATGGATTGGATTTAAACAGTTGTCCATTTAATAATTAAATCAATTTACCATTAATCACCGACGTCACTCCTGGAGACTGCCAATGAAAGAACTGACAATCAAGGGTACCGTAGCCATTGAGAAGGTTACTTGATAATTGAGAATATGTGGGTGGAGTTATCGTCTGTCAATCAAACAATCGGCAATTCTCGGAGACAGATGATACCTACTTCTAGTCCAAACTTCCAACAAGGACAACTTTATTCAGAATAAAGTAATTTGACTGAAATTTTCAATATTTTCTTTTTTATGATCTATTTTTGAATTTTTATAGCAAGAATGGCTAACTCTTTATTAAACTCTTAACTAATCTATCTGTAAAGGGACGTAAAAGATGATCTTCTACAAACTTAATGATATTTGCTAACTCTGGATCTTGCTAACACCAGATCTTGCCAACTCTAGATCTTGCTAACTCTGGATCTTGAATTGGTCATTAACCAAAGTAACATCTGTTTACCGTCATTGAAGTTATCGAGAAATCTAAAATGGACATTATTAGAAAGTACCAGAGCTTATAAATGGACATTCTTAGAAAGTACCAGAGCTTATAAATGGACATTATTAGAAAGTACCAGAGCTTACAAATAGACATTCTTAGAAAGTACCAGAGCTTATAAATGGACGTTATTAGAAAGTACCAGGGCTTATAAATAGACATTATTAGAAAGTACCAGAGCTTATAAATGGACATGATTAGAAAGTACCAGAGCTTATAAATGGACATTATTAGAAAGTACCAGAGCTTATAAATGGATGTTATTAGAAAGTACCAAAGCTTATAAATGGACGTTATTAGAAAGTACCAGAGCTTATAAATGGATATGATTAGAAAGTACCAGAGCTTATAACTGGACATTATTAGAAAGTACCAGAGCTTATAAATGGATGTTATTAAAAAGTACCAAAGCTTATAAATGGACATTATTAGAAAGTACCAGAGCTTACAAATAGACATTCTTAGAAAGTACCAGAGCTTATAAATGGACGTTATTAGAAAGTACCAGAGCTTATAAATAGACATTATTTGAAAGTACCAGATGTTATAAATGGACATTATTATAAAGTACCAGGGCTTATAAATGGATGTTATTAGAAAGTACCAGATGCTATAAATTACAGTTGTAATATGTTTAATAATTTATAAAAGAAAACAGCTAGGCTTTGTATGGAGTTATTGGCATCTTCATTCTATATTAATATTAGTTACTTACCAAAATAATGTGTCTACGATATCACCCTTGGTTGAATTGGACGTAAAACTCCACGAACAAACCAACGAACCAAAATAACATTTGTTTACGTTGTTTACAGTAAGTGACATTATCGAGAGAACAAAAAATGGCCATTATCAGAAAGAACCAGAACTTTAACTCTTAGAATTTATAAATTTTTATGCATATTCAGTATTAAGAGCTGAATAGTGACAATTGACAAGAAATAGATTCACTCAAATTTAAGGATGTCAGTGATTCTAGTTTTGTGCTTTGTGGGGCAAGAGACTGAGGCGACTGCCTTATGATGTTTATCATGTTTTTTGTGGATTGCAAAAATGGACGTTATTAGAAAGTTCGTAAGCTTAAGATCCTAGTTTTGTGTTTTGTCGCCCGATAGATAGATAGATTGAGGGGACGGCTTTGTAATGTTTATGAAAGCTTATCGTGTGATTTGTGGATTGCATGCTAATGGACATTGTTAGAATGTTCGGAAGCTTATACTCTTAGACTTTGTCATCGTGTTATTTGTCGATCGTTTGCTAATGGACATTGTTAGAAGGTTTGGAAGCTTATACTCTTAGAATTTCTCATCGTGTTATTTGTGGATCGTTTGCTAATGGACATTGTTAGAAGGTTCGGAAGCTTATACTCTTAGACTTTGTCATCGCGTTATTTGTGGATCGTTTGCTAATGGACATTGTTAGAAGGTTCGGAAGCTTATACTCTTAGACTTTATCATCGCGTTATTTGTGGATCGTTTGCTAATGGACATTGTTAGAAGGTTCGGAAGCTTATACTCTTAGACTTTATCATCGTGTTATTTGTGGATCGTTTGCTAATGCGTATTGAATATTAATATTAAGTATGATTGATTCATGATCCTAGTATTGTGCTCTGTGGCCCAGGAGATTGAGGAAGCCGCTTTAGTTAAGCTTTTCGACATCTGATTTGAGGCCCAGGAGATTGAGTCGGCTTTTCAACAACTTATTTGTGGACTATTAAGTTTATATGTTAAGACGGCTGGGTATCGTATATGATCCACAAATGTATTGGGAAAAATATGCTGCAGAAATTATGGGGAGATTTCTATGGACGTCACCTCCACACGATTGCATGTAAGTTGGAATTTTATTCATGAGATCCTTGAACTCTCTGACAAACAGATCTGGAATCATTTCTCAGACAGGAACCACAGTATTTCAGTGAGTTATATGCTGGAGGTCGCGGGTTCGATCCCGTTGTTGTCCTGCGTGGTTTCACCATGTCAGTGGTGCGGGACGACGGGCCTGACAAGGAAAGTTGTCTAGTTGTTCGGATGGGACGGGAAACCGAGGTCCCGTGTACACATTGACATGCACGTAAAAGATTCCTCGCAAGATTAGACCGTAACACTGCTGTCAGGTGGGTTTTACTGTTCTACTCCAACTGTTCTAATGAAGATGACTGTCCCGGCCAAATTTCCCTCATAGCACATGGCATATGCCAGACTTCAATAATCCAGTTGGAGCAGAACAGTAGGACGTTAAACTTCATTTCATGTTGCCTGGTAACCTATATCTAATGTGCTATACCAGTAGCATAACAACCAATCTTTATTTAAATGTTGCCTGGCAACCAATGTTTAATATGATTTACCAGTAGCCTGGCAACTAATCTTTATTATGGTGTTGCCTGGCAACCTTTATTTAATGTGATTTACCAGAAGAGAGAAAGATATAGAGAGAGTTTAAGTCTACTGGACACAAACTAGGTCATTTCGGGATTAACATGGTTTAGTTTTATTTCAATAATTTGCTCCAGGGGTCTTTAGCAGTGTGGGGTTGGACAGGCGAACCTGACACCTTGTCACATACAATCAGGGAATTAAAACCATGCCAAGACAGTCATAAATAACATGCATGATTTAACATGTACAAGTTAACCATTCGGCCACCCCAGTTAGAGATAACACTAGAATTATGGTGTTTTATCTGATATAACAGATGGTGTTCTTCACAATCATTTTAAATCCTACATAATTACCACATATTGATGTTTAACACACATGGCTTCCATCATTTAATTATAATATGTCACCAAGCATCGTTAAACTTATCACATCTTTATGTTCACGGTAATTTATATTTATTTACGGGTTTTATAGGATTATTGTGGGTTTTTATATTCGAGGCCGGGTGTTTTAGATCATTGGGTCAAGTGATCTAACATGCTTTAGATCAAAAGGTCTGTCATTGAGTCAAGTGATCTAGAGAGAGAGAAAGAGAGGGGGAGAGAGAGAGAGAGAGAGATTTAAGTCCACTTGACACAAACTAGGTCATTTTTGGACTAACATATGGTTCAATTTTATTTCAATAATTTGCATGCACGTAGGGGGTCTTTAGCAGTGGAAGGAAATTCGAGGACTCTGAGAAAACCCATAAGGTTGGACAGACGACCCTACTTCTTGTCAAGTACAACCCGGGAATTGAAACCACTGAAACCACGCCAGTTGACTCAATGATAGACCTTATGAAACAGCTCACACTGCTAACCATTCGTCAATCTCCCCCCGTCCGGCAAATAAAGATAGTGACTACCTTGTTACATGTATATAGGGCGTCGCATAGATTGGTGAAGTTGAATCATTTTTGGACAGGTATTTGTATTAATCATTCCGCCATCGCCACCCGCCCTTATTAAATGAAGGGAATGGAAAGGATATTGATATGGATTCTGGAACATGTTTCATAAACCATTAAATGAAATGAAATGGGGTTTAACGTCCTACTGTTCTGCTCCTATACTGGGCTAATGAAGACGGACATAAGCCATACAGTGTGCTATGAGGGAAATTTTGCCCGGGCAGCGGCACTATCGCCTACTGCCAAGGGATCTTTTACGTGCATTCCAATGTATACACGGGACCTCGGTTTTTCGTATCATCCGAAGGACTATACAGCTGTCCTTGTCAGGCCCTCCGTTCTGTACCACTGACAAGGGGAAACCACGTCGGAAAATCCAGATGAACTTTCTCAGCCAATGCAGGGATCGAACACCCGACCTCCAGGCTAGCGGGCCAGCGTCTTAACCACCCAGCCACCGTGGCTCCCAAAAAACATTAAATATGTACATATAATAAATAATCAACCTATTACATTCCTGCTGCTATTGTCTAGAACCTTCTTGACAATCTCTCCCCTGTCTCTTCAGCCACTCCCCTCTCTCTCTCTCTCTCTCTCGCTCTCTCTCTCTCGCTCTCTCTCTCGCTCTCTCTCTCTCTCTCTCTCGCTCTCTCTCTCTCTGATTTGTTATGATAGTTGACCTTGTAAATGAATGATTGATATATAAATACCTATGTTGTTATTATACAGGTGTTATATCTATCTAGGACACGTTGAATCATATCAAGAGATTAACATCATTTTAATACTTTATTTACTTTTCCTATTAAATATATTTTTTATCAAGGTCTCATGAGAGAAAGGGGTCAACAATATGGCCACATTACACTGTTACTTTTCAACATTGACTTTTTTAGTAAATTTTTGAAGGGTGTTTGGTGGCTAAATCAATCATTGTTTTTTTAAGGCAAGTGATCGCTCTCGATCACCTGCTGCTCACCTGAACGTCAACCGAGGGGAGTTTTTTTCCCCTCACCTTAAAACTGAAAATCGCTCTCTTTTACAGTCATTTGGGGTTTATTATCATTCATGAAACCAGGAATGCAGTTATTGATCTTAAACATTTCCCATTCACATTACCTAATCACTCTCCTTAATATAAGACCACTCTCCTTAATTTCTAAATCACTCTTCTTATCAAAACTGGAAGTGTTTTTTGAGGGGAGCGATTTTTTCAATTCGTTGATTGAGGGGAGATTTTTTTGGCTCTCCTCTGAAATACAAACAACAACGACTGGCTAAATGGTTTAATACATGTGTGTTAGATCTGTCATTGAGTCAACTGGCTTGGTTTCAATTCCCCCGTTGTAAGTGACAAGGAGTAGGATTGTTTTCTCCACGTTTCCACCCACAGCTAAAGACAGCTATATGCGCAAGTGAATTATTGAAATAAAATTGAACCATATGTTAGTCCATAAATGATCAAGTTTGTGTTGAGTGGACATTGAACTTGTTTAATACTCTAATTCTCTCTCCCTAGGGGGTTGGGTGGCCGAATGGTTAGCGCGTCTGCGTTATATCATTACGTCTGTCATTGAGTCAACTGGCGTTGACTGCATGGTTTAGACTCCCCAGTTGTACTTGTAGTGACAAGAAGTAGGGTCATCTGTCCAACCTCGTGGGTTTTCACTAGGTCCTCTAGATTCCGCCAACTACTAAAGACCCCTACATGCACGTTAGTCCTAAAATGACCTAGTTTTTGTCGAGTGGACGACCAACACCGTTTCTCTCTCAATAGTAATGTTAATTACACAAAACTTGTGAAAAAAGTTTGAATTTGAGCAAGACTAAACTGACGTAACGGCTGTTTTATTGATGGAAAGTTACAACTACTCATGGAGCGCAGTTCAAATCGCTAACTTTGAAATTTACCTGTTGCAGGTAATATTGACATTTGGGATCGTGTTATGGAAAGGATATGTTCACATATGTTCACATAATTACTTGCTTTATTATTTATGAAGCCTTTAAAGGGAAAATAACACTCTTGCTGGCTTGACAGCTCCAGAAAATAAAAAATAGCCTTATTCTAAGTATTAGATGTTTAAGTGTCCTACCTGTTGTGTAAATTATCCATTAAATCCTATTTTACTTGTCCAGAGGGTTTGAAAATATTTTTAAATCCAAGTCACATTTGAAAAGCTTTACGTCAGGCTTTTCAAATCATTTAGTTGAATTTTTCCAATTTTTTAAATTAGGTGTGTTAAGATGAAATTTGTATCATCAATTAATTGGAATATTGTAAAATAGTGTGATGCAGGACGGAGGGGCTGACAAGGACAGCTGTCTAGTCGTTCGGATGGGACGAAAAACCGAGGTCCCGTGTACTCATTGGCGTGCACGTAAAAGATCCCTTGACAGTTGGAATTCGATATAAGAGTAGGCCGTAGTGCCGCTGTCCGGGCAAAATTTCCCTCATAGCACACTGTATGGCGTATGCCCGTCTTCATTAGCCCAGTTCGGAGCAAAACAGTAGGACGTTAAACCCCATTTCATTTCATTTCATTTGTAAAATAGTGCAATTTGTTGACCAGAATAAAGATTGGGACATATTATTCAGTTACAACAAGAGTGATATTGAGCCTTTAATGTGGGCATACATGTATATAATCCACTAGGAAAACAAATCTATATATAGTTTCAGAATATATTTGTAATGTTTACAGAAATGAAATGAAATGGGGTTTAACGACCTACTGTTCTGCTCCAACTGGGCTAATGAAGACGGACATACGCCATACTGTGGGCTATGAGGGAAATTTTGCCCGGACAGCGGCACTATGGCCCACTCTTATTTCGAATTCCAACTGCCAAGGGATCTTTTCAATGTCGAAGATTTTGGATAATATTGAGTTACGGACTTAGCTACTTTAAACAACTACTATCTTAAATTTACAGTTTTATTTCATTGTCCTGCATTTCAGACGGTTGAAAGGGAATTAAAAATTGTACTGGTACTTAACATTTGTTGTTAAAAAGGCATTGAGAGAGAAATGGAGTTTAAGGTCCACTTCACACAAACTAGGTCATTTCGGGACTAACATATGATTTAATTTTATTTCAATAATTCGCTTGCGCGTAGGGGTCTTTAGCAGTGGGAGGACTCAGAGAAAACCCACGAGGTTGGACAGACGACCCTACTTCTGAAAAAGGTGAAACCACGCTTGACAATTCTGATGAACTTTTGCAGCCAACACCAGGGTCGAACCCATAACCTTCAGGCTAGCGACCAAGCATCTTACTCACTTAGCCACCACGACTCCACCATGTTTACATGTTTTGACTTGTCCATTCTTGTCTCAGACATTCTTTTAAAATTACAAAAGAGGGCAGCAAGAATTATTCTTGATGCACCAATTGAAACTCCGTCCACCTCTTTATTTACTAAACTTGGTTGGCTTACCCTTACACAGAGGATTCTTTATAATAAAATTGTCTTATCATTTAATACTCCCCTTTATCTAAATTCCTATTATATTGAAAAATCTCTTGTTTCCAAAACGGATATCTTGCTCCGTTCACAGACCAGTAAATCTCTTTTTCTTCAAAAATGCAAAACTGAATCCATGAAACGTACTTTTCATTATTCTGCATGTCTTTTATGGAACAATCTGCTTTTTGATATAAAGATGTGTAAAAATGTTGAAAATTTTAAGATTAAACTGAAAACTCATTTATTTTGCACACTGAAGGAACCATAATATTACACTGATGACATACTTATTATTTTAGCTGCATTCTATCTTATTTTGTGTATAATTATAGTGTTCTTCCTATATTCTACTTGTATAATGTATATGTTTTGTAGTTTGGGAGTGACTTCCCAAACTTCCCACTTTAAAATGCTATTGCATTTCAAATGATTTTGAATTTATCCTGATATTACATGTATATATGTCTTTGTAGCTTAGGAGGAACCTATGGAAGATTAGTTTTTCTTGAAAACTAAATACGTTGCCTCATTAAATAAAGTTTTTATTATTATTATTATTTCAGATTTCGGACACAGTCTACTGATACACCGATCGGAGGTACGGAAAAGGCCGGATATTTAGAACAACTTCGTGCCGAGGAGTCTGTTGGTGCTGCTAAAAAACCTGCTACAACCTCACCCAAATCAGGTAAGACAAGTTTTATTATTACCGGTGATAAGACTGAACAAAATTTAAAAATACATTATGTTATGCAAGAACTAAATCTGCCTATTTCAGGTCTTTCTTTAGGCCTGAAATGTTAAATAAACTATTAATTAGAAATTAATTAACCTGACAAGACCTTAATCAACTCTCGATAGCATCTTATGTGTCAGATTTTCACTGGATTTGAATCCAATGCTTTTTTATCCTACCGACTTTAGGCCTAAAATTCAATTGCTAATATCACGGTTCAAAGTGGAGCAATTTGAATGAAATTTTCAGCACATTATCTAGTTAACTATTATAGTGAGAACTGTCAGCTCTTTATCTAATCTCGCATAATGCCCCTTTAACTATTGTCATGAAAAAATACTTATATATTCCCTTATCGAAATGTAAACTTTCAATTTGATGATTAATAATTTCATTCTGGCCTCAAATTGACCATCAAAGATCCGAAAAATCCCTTGTCCAAAATAAAACCTACAAATCCTGGCATCCAAATCCCAAGTCCAAAATAAAAAACACTAATCCTAGTACCCAAAAGCCAGATTTTACATGTATCATCGAAAACATTACAAAGCCTGATGTATGCATGTTCTAGCAACTAGTTCAGAGCAGAACAGTAGGACATTAAACCCTTTAACATTTCATTTTTAGCAATTAGACAAATTTATACAGGCATGACTGAAGCTTTCAAACTCCTAATTCCATAAAAAAAAACAACATTATTTCGTTTCTGTGCATCTTTTCTTTATCATCCATTACCACTTGTCATTACCGCTTGCTATTACCACTTGTTATTACCACCTGTCTTTACCACTTGTCTTTTCTTTACCACTTGTCTTGTCATTACACTTTTTATTACCACTTGTCAATACCACAATACCACATACCAGTGGCATTATTACTTGCCCTTATGACTTGTCATTCTCCTTACCAATTGTCATTACCACTCGTCATTGTCTTTACCAATTGTCATTACCACCTGTCATTGTCTTTAACCCTTGTCAATGTCATTACCACTTGTATTTACCACTTGAGTTGTCGTTACCACTTAAGTTGTCGTTACCACTTGTCTTGTCTTTACCACTGTCATTACCACTTGTCATGGCCTTGTCATTACCAACACTTGTCATTACCACTTATTATTGCCATTACCACTCATTATTGCCATTACCACCTACTATTGTCGTTACCACTTGTCTTGTCTTTACCACTTGTCATTGTCATTACCACTTGTCATTACCACATGTTATTGCCATTGCCACTTATTATTGTCATTACCACATGTCATTGGCATTACCACAAGGAACAATTTATTTTTTCTATATAATGTCATGTTGACAATATTAATTATGTTAAAAATCCTGGTTCTTTGTGTTGTGAGTGGTAAATATGACCTTGGCCTACCTGACTGTATCTGTATTATATAACCTACCTATTGTAATCTTTGTAATTAACATAAACAACAAGTGATAACTAGGACACATGTACAGGTAATCACTATGTATTACAAACATCAAAGGATTTTTATTAATAAAGTCTATGATGATACAGGTAAGGATATTGCGTATCAAATTTAAATGTAACCAAGTTTCCTCCAAATATCGGAAACTCAATACAGGTTTGGTTGATGTTTCTACAAAGTTTCATAAATATCTTGAAAAGGGTTATGATATATATGAAGAGCCCCGGGGAAGATCGATCTGAGTCACTTTTTCAACGAACCCCAGTTAAAGGCGCCATCTGAAATGTCCTCCCGGACAAATACAAGTCCATCGTACCCTTTATTTAACCTTAATTTGCCTGAAAAGTCAGTTGTACTGGTAATTATGATTCGTATTAAACATCATTTTGAAGTTGAGATTAAACTCACTCGTTGTTAACTGTCATTGAGTCGACTGGCCTGGTTTCGAATCCCTGGTTGTACGTGACAAGGAGTAGGGTCGCCTGTCCAACCTCGTGGGTTTTCTCCGGGTCCTCCGAATTGTTGAAATAAAATTAAACCATATGTTAGTCCCGAAATGATCTAGTTTGTGTCGAGTGGACGTTAAACCCCATTTCTCTCTCTCTCACAAACACAATTTGACCATTCGGCCCCCTACCCACCCACCCCCCTCCCATCTGCAATATCGCATTCGGTGGAAGCAGATGTTAAACGTTACGAACAACATAAAGTTGAATGGTATTGCTTACCTGTTGTTGATATTAATTCTTTTATGGTAAAACATGTTATAGTACACAGGACCTAAGTCTTTTGTTCCCATCCAAAGGACTAAACACTGTTCCTTGCCAGGCCCTCAGCCCTGCACCATGATCGACAATAATGAAACCATGCCAGAAAATATGAGTATAAAATCTTGTATGGTGATCATTAACAACTTCGGTCCCGACCAACTGATCGTCTACAGTTGGACTTATAAACAGGTCCTTATCGGAAGATACATGTATGAACCACCATAGCTTGGTGTCAGTACCCTGGTGTCAATATGCTTTTCCTTTCTAGAAGACCTGGTATCACTTCTGAGTAGTTAGGAATCCACATACCGGTAGTAGGTTTTTCCTTTCTAGAAGACCAGATAACATTTCTGAGTTTGGAGGAGTCCACATAGTATCTCTACTCTTTCTAGAAGACCTGATACCACTTCTGATTTGTGAAGAGTCCACTTAGCAGGCTTGTCCTTTCTAGAAGACCCGATACCCCTTCTGAGTACAGAGGGGCCCACATATGGACTAGGGAAGAGTCAACATAGTCTGCGTTTCCTTTTTAGAAGACCCGATACCATTTCTGAGTAGAGAGGAGGCCATGTCTGATTTTTTTTTCTAAAACGCAGGATACCATTTCTGAGTAAAGCAGGGTCCACATAGTAGGCTTTTTGTTTTCCAGAAGATCAGATGCCACTTCTTACTTCAATATAGACATAGTTTGCTTTTCCATTCTAGAAGACTTGATCCCAAATCTGAGTAGGGAGGAGGCCACATAGTTGGCTTTTCCTTTTTAAAACATGTGATACCAACTCTGAGAGGGTTGAGTCCACAACTTGGGTACTGGAAGAAATAAGGACACCATAAACACCAAAATGTTTGTCCGGTTGGTTGATGTTTATTGACATTGTCGTTTTTCCACCACAACGATAAATTACTGTACAAAATGGTCGGTTGGTTGACTTTTAATAAAAGGTTTTTATCAATAATGCATGATATTGCCGTAGAAAATGTCTGGTTGGTTGATTGATGTTTATTGACGTTTTCCACCATAACCATATTGCTGTACAAAACGGCCTGCTGGTTGATTTTTAAAGTTTGTATTAACTCAACAACATAAAGATATTTTCAAAATGTCTGGTTGGTTGATTTTTAACCTTTGCTTCCACAATAACGATACTGCTATACAAAATGTCCATTTTTTGTGATATTTCCTCCCCTGTGATTAATCTGTTTTTTAATCCAGCCACAAGATTCACTTCTGCTAAAAATGAAGGTGACCTTACGAAATGAAAGGCTATCATCATGACATTTGGGTAGCAGATTTGTTTATCTGACTGTAAAAAAGACGCCAGTGACTTAACGATATTGCATATACTATTACCCTCACTACTTGACACGAAAGATATTTAGTAAACCTACTTCACTATCTGTTGATGAGTGTTGTCCACATGTAGATCACAGTGGCTAAGTGGGTAAGACGCTGGCTCGCTAGCCTGGAGGTCAGGTGTTTGATCCCTGCATTGGCCGAGAAAGTTCAATAATATTGAACCATATGTTGGTCTCGAACTGACCTAGTTTGTGTTGAGTGAACGTTAAACCCCATTTCTCTCTTTCTCTTTGTCTTCTGTGGTGTCATCATTAATTTCAATGACACATATGTACTGTGATTGACTTCCTTACAAATCATTCTACCTGAGACACAACATGGGCGTATCAGTGCCGTATATTTGGTCCGATACATCTAAAACCATTATTTCTAGGCATGACTGTCCTGTCCAACCTTGTGGGTTTTCTCCAGGTCCTCCAGTTTCCTTCCACTGCTAAAGAGCCATACGCACAAGCGAATTATTGAAATGAAATTAAACCATATGTTAGTTCCAAAATGACCTAGTTTGTGTTGAATGGATGTTAAACCCCATTTCTCACTCAATGCCTTTTTAACAACAAATGTTAAGTACCAGTACAATTTTTAATTCCCTTTCAACCGTCTGAAATGCAGGACAATGAAATAAAACTGTAAATTTAAGATAGTAGTTGTTTAAAGTAGCTAAGTCCGTAACTCAATATTATCCAAAATCTTTGACATTGAAAACACGATTTATCTGATTTAAAAAATTTTTTTTTGAATATATCACTGTTACACCATAATGGTGGCTGAGTTTGAATTTCATGAACTACTGGACAAAATGGCAGCCCCTCGTACGCAAATAGGGTAAATATATGGTACATGTATATCATGGCTGTGGACCCTCAGATTTTGATGAAACTTGCAATACATGTTTATAATCCAAAGATCTTGGTTCCTTTTTATATTTGCGTATATCGGACCATAACTTCCTGGATTATGGCCCCTGATCACGTTTTTAGCTTGAGGACCCTCTGGAGTTCACAATTTTTATCCAATTTTAGAAAGCGTTTAAATGTATCACTGTTACACCCTAATGACGGTTGAGTTCGAATTTCGCGAAAATCGAACCAAAACTGCCCGACAAAATGGTCGCTCCTTGTACACAAATAGTGTCATGTATGTAATATGAAGTTTGTGAACTCTCTGGAAGTCACAATTTTTATCCGATTTTGATGAAACTTAAAATATATCTTTATATCCCAAATACATGTATCTCAGTCCATTTCGATATTCGTGCATTTCAGACCGTAACTGCCGGGATTATGGCCCCTGATTGTACGAAAAATCACTTTTCTTTTTTTAGCTTGTTCTCTATCCATCTCTTGCAAAATGTGGGCGTATATTGCCTGGCAACCACTGGTTAATA